GCGAGCGGCTATGTGGTGCTTAGTTGCTGCCCAGGGTTAAACCACGACAAGAACAAACGTTGACTTTAGACTCTGATGTCTTAACTGGAATCCTCACTGGCAGTAATTTGCTAATTTGAGGTGTTGAGGAGATCTGCTTTGATCTATAAGAAATTGTGTGAGGTGCTTCAGTTTTTCATGCCAGTGAGGCAGAAAAACAGATGTGAACCTAGTTGCTGCTTGTCTGTCTTGCTAGCAAATCTGTAGTTAAAATCTTCCTGTTTTGGTTTCTCTACAGTAGGTGCCATAGTACTTTTATATTCCCTTGTCCTCCTATCAGTTTTAAGATACGGATCAATAAATCAGTTTCGAATCCGGATTCTTTAAAGTATTTGACTGACCAACCTGAATCAGACTTCAGGGTCAGTTCTCTAAGGTACTTGCATTAATGGCTCACAGATTAAGTCTAGGTTCTAGGTATATGCCTTTAAACGTTTCTTCAACTCACCTTTATTGCTTTCTGGATGTTAACACAGGAGTCCCGTATTGTCTGCAACAACTTGTTAAAGCGTCCCATCTCTTGGACAAGCACAGTATTCATGCTTTGAGCATAAGTGGTTGGATATCTTCTCATTGCTGCTTCAATGTCAAAATTTGGAGGAAGTTTGCTCAGGATGTCACCTGTGACTTCATTAACAACTTCATCTGTGGATTTTGCACCACCACCAGATGCCTGAGACTAGAGAGAGCCAAAAATTTTGATTTATTTTGAGAAAAAGAAAGAGGACTTAGGAGAGTGAATAGTTAAAATGCAGGAAAATAGAGCTGTTAAAAAGCCATTGTTTAAAAGATCATTACAGTTCCAACCCTCTTCCCCTGTGATTGAAATTAATTTGTTTCAGAATTTCCTATATTATTGCAATAAGTTATTAACTTAGAACTAACAAAATCTGGTTTCCTACAGATTTATGTCCTCCTCTGTTTTTTTTGCTGAAATCCTGCTTCCACTGTAAACCAATCTTTCTCCCCCCATCTCTGATATTCCCATCAGCACCATTGGCTGGCCAGGTGCTGCCAAATGGCACAGAGCAGTTCTGCTCACCAAGTTCTGTCTCGCTGTCCCTCCGTGTCCCTCCTGCTCCCTATATTCAGCTCTTCATTTTCCTCATGAAGTTTACAGGAACTATAGTATCCCTAGGTAGTACCTGGCTTACAAACTGGACTGATACTGGCCAAGAACTTGAAAATTGTTAAAAGCTGGGGGGAGTAGAAGATACGCAAACTGCTTGTACGATCACAGAGGCTGTGTTTCCTTAGGAAGACAGTCAGGAAAAATGCAAAACCAAAAAAACTTTAAAAGATTCTTAAGTGGAACAGTAATTTCACCAGAATGAAGATACAACACAATAAGGTACAGTAAAAACTGAAAAAAAATCTGAACATACTCATGTGGAGACAGAGTAGAAAGTTATGGTAAAATGGTGTGTGACTCTTACTCTTTACATACCTGTGTAAGAAGAATGTTATCAAATAGCAGTTGCGTTTCTGACTGATCCTTGGTAATATCAGCATTTGCATTCATTCCAAATATCTCCGGGGAAGGATTCAGTGGAAGTGTCTTCGTATATTCAATATAGCTTTGGTACTGAAAAAAGGGAAAAAAAAAATACTCTACACAAAAGAAGATGCAGAAACAGCCAAACAGCCCATGACAGGCTGCAAGCTGCGTCTCAAAACCACTACAACCTTTCCTAGTGTAACGAATACAGTGTGAAAACTAAGATACAAAAGGAAATACAGGGGCTGACCGTGCCTCACAAATTCCTTTGGTCCATCCTCCTCCCCTGAAATCAGGATTGGCTTTCCTTAAAAGATTTCTGACAGCTGTTGGAAATTCTCTTACAAAATAAGATACCTAGCGCAAGGGGCTGCAGCCCCTTTCTGGGCCCACTGCTTGCCAAGTGTCTGAAGGCATTTTGCTAATGTGTAACAACTCTCCTGTGTGATAAATTAAGCTGATTACTATGTCCTTTTTACCTGCAGCAGATAAGATTAACTAATTCTCTTATGCCTATTTTATAATGCTTTTAACTTCAGCAGGCTGGGTTTCTCCCTTATTGTCCCCTAAGTGTGCTGACTCACACAGAGCAAAGTCAATTTACTTGGTAGTAATTGGGGTGGTTTTTTACATCTTTTTACATCATCTCTGTTTCTCAGAAGTCACTGAAATAAGAATAATAGAATGTGAGATTAAGCCACAAAAGTGAGCAATGACAGCGGTAAGCACTGATGCACATATCAATGTGAGTAAAGATAGATCTATTTTTTAAAAAAATAATTCTGTTGTTCTGGGATACTTACATCTCCTTCAGGAGGAGCAAAATAGAGGCCACTTGGATCAAATTTATAATCTACATTTGTAATGATTTCCGAGGAAAAGAACATGTTTAGAACACTACGGAGCGTACGCCGATCCCAGTCATCAGTGACTCTGCCACCATAATTACATTCTCCAGTCATATAGCGAAGAGCATCATATGGCACCTCCTGAAAAAAAGCGAGACAAAGATCTGGACTGCAGCCTAGCACTCCTCTGGACAGCCATACTGGTATCATTGTAATTTATTTGGAAGTCATACAGAATTCTCTCTGGAAAGTATAAAAGCTGTTATTTACTTCTGCTAGTTCATGCTTGTACCATTGATCTCCCAATCTTCAAATACTTTAATAATTATCCATCAAGTCATCCAGCATTGCTTCTTTTGAAGAATAATGGCATCAAAAATTTCCATAGTAATGCAGCTGGAACTCCCTAAGTACAAGTTTATGGAAAACTCTTCCAAAATTATCTCTACTGGTTTGGCCATACATACTTCTAAAATAAATGTATGCTGTCATAGAGCCATAGCTGTGCTCATAAATTTTGGGGGTTTTTTTGTTGTTTTTTTTTTAGAAAGTAAAATCAAACATGCTTAAAGTCTTGAAGTTGGGAGAAGCTGGACTCCTCTTAGGTGCATAAAAGGAACAAATTATGAGTAACAAGAGAGAAATTCTTTCCAGGAAGTCAGGGCAAGAGTGGGTAAGATGCTGAGAACTGGGATAAAGCAGACCAGTCAAAAAAAGTACCAAGAAATCTGTTTACTACATACAAGTTATTATATTTCAGGAAAAAAAATGCTTCCCTCCCTGCTAGGCACTACATTTGCTCATAAGCTTTGGTCATATAATGGGAAGACATCCCTTTCAGACCCCCCCCCTTCACTCTCCTGCAGGAGAAGAAACACACACCTTCGTGGAGTTGCTTTCTCATGCTGAAACGCAATTTACCTCTTAACCACACTGATAACCAAAAACACTCCAGGCTGACAGTGGTTTGAAAATAATACCCCCTTCCTGCCCCAGCCGTAACTTGAACAGATTCTGGCTATAGTGGCTTGCTTAGGAAGCTGGAACATAAAGAAGGGTCACGCATTGCTAGCAAATTCCAGAGAGGCTTCCATGAAACACTGCCTAGCTCTGCAAACAGGGAAGGAACACCATCTGCCAAATTTACACAAATAGATCAAGGTTGTTATTAATCTGCAACAGTCGAAGGTCTAGTAGTATCCCTATCATTGAGTAAATAACAGTTAGCAATTAAGTGTTTTAGTACGATATTTTACAGCTTGCAGTAACATTGCCAAGAGCTGAATCCACAGCTCCTGCCTAAAGACAGGGTAAGATTCCAATGAATAAGGCAATTATATGGAACAAACACCGCTCTGTTTTGCATGGCAGAACTTCTAAATTATAATTTGAAAGTTTCCCACATTAGTTGTATACTGATCATGGTACACTAACCACTTAAAATAAATGTGGTTAGCACTATTGCCAGTATACTTTGGTTTCTAATTCACTGCCCCCACTAAACTGTTGCTGTGGCAGCACTCAGCCTGCATTGGTACATGCACTAACAGTCCTAGAAAGTGCAAGCAAGGACTGGGACCCACTGTGAGAGGTTGCCGTACCTCGTACTGGTCAAGGAAGATGTGCAGCTGCTGCACACTGATGCGCAGGTCGGTCTCATTGAACTCATATGGAATGTTCCAACCCAAAGGCCCAAAATTCCGTCTTTCTTGCACCAGCGCGTGGAAGAAGCAGAGGCCGTATAGCAATGTCTTGAACTCAGCCTTAAAACCAAATGCAACACCATTAATAATTCATGGCTGGTTTAAACCGTTTCATTTTTTCTCACGTCCTGCACAGCAGTGCTGTCTTTGAGTCACTCAAAACCCAGCATCTCCTGCCCTGGTAACATACTGTTTATGAGTCACGGATAGCTTTTTCTTGACATACAAAGGCCTTCAGCGGGAAGTCACCAAATTGTCATAAGCATCAGTTCTAAATATGCTCTTAAACTAGTGTGAACCCTCAAAGCAATTTCATTTTTAAAGCTATAATATCCATGTATATGTAATTAATATACATGACACATACAACTATGTGTATCAGACCATATATCTATGAATTTTTTTTTTTTACACCATTGTATTATAAAACATTGTTCACACAATATTTCTGTGCTTTTTTTTCTCATCAAGATAGATTTCAGACCTTTAAAGAAAACCTTCAGGTAGGAACTTTTCTTTTGTTTTGTTTTTCAGTTGTGACCATTTAGCAAAGTATATGATCTCATTTAGAAGAACTACATTAATTATAGAAAAATAATGTAAAATATGCTTGCAAAGAGACATCTAATTATGAAAAGAGTGGTTAAGATTTTTCCCAGTCTTACTTTTTTTTTTTAAACTAGAGAGCTGTATTACTAATGCCATACCACAAAATCTCAATTGTAGAAGTAGGAGACGAGCAATGCAACAAAAATTATATTTACTTCACTATTGCCAGTAATCAAAACCAGTTTCATTGCAGTGGAAGACAACTATTTAATTTGGGAGGGTTTTTTTTTTCCCCCAGAGCATACATACACAGTCATCAGGGTCTGCTTTAACTGATTTACAAAGTTACAGTACAACATTACTAACAGGTTTTCTGCAGCTGTTGAAAAAGTCAGGATCAGAAATTGGATCCATCAGGTACGAACGAATTATATTGGCCCGTAAACCTTTTGGTGCTTCATTAGTCATCTTCACTCCATTCTGAAGTACAGACACTGGGAACGTGGCAGATGGGTAACTGGTGAGCCAAATTCGGAAATCTGGATGCGTTGTATCAGGGTTTAGCTCCTACAATAAACACATATAAAAACAGGCAACTGGAAGACACAATAGATTAATACACACAGCAAGTGTTATTATTAAAACAAATTTTTTTTTTAGGTGGGAAAATATACCCGTCCAAAGTTTAATTTCTTAGATGCTTATATGTGATTATAGTGAAAGTCACAGTTATGAATGACAACTTCCCTTCTACAGCTGGTGTATTTTTATTCAAGACTTCAGTACTTTGAACTAAAATTTGTCCTCTCTGTGCACGTTTGTGGAATATACGAACAAAACCAAGTGCAGGCTCTGTATCACAAGAGCAATGGAATGTATACTTTGCCCATTTAGTGCACTTACTGTCATACAGCTGTTCTGGGAGGGGCTATAGTAATAATATGTATACATCAGAAATGTGTTGAGTTTATTAAGGGGGGGGGAGGGGTGGAAAGAAAGAAATACACACCTCTTTGGAAACCTATAGCTGTTCAAGAGTAAAATTTCTTAGCATATCTTTGCTTTTCTGCAGCAATAGACATATGATGAAAGCTCTTGGCCTGAAGAAACTCTTGTAGCAGCTGGGATTTACCATTCAAGGAATGGGCCAGACCCACCATGCTTGTGAGCACTTTATATTCCAGCAGGCAGAAGGAAAAAGGCAGAATCAATGTGATGATTACCGTTATATAATGGGAATCATCACGAAGTATGCTAAGCTGGTTTTCAGTTGCCTGTATGGATCAGACATGCCTTCAAAAGTATTTATAACAAGAAGATAATACTTATTTTTACCTCACAGACTCTTTCCAGTATTGGCATCCATGAACTTGCTAGATGGCAATTTTGCAGAACTATCCATGTTCCTTCCTTTACTGCCTTCTCTATCATTTTCATGGCTATCGGGCCTTGGCCTTGACCAAGTGACAGAGAACTAAGCTTTTCACCACCGTATCCCTGCATATAGAAAGCATACTATAAGTAAAAATAATATTGCATAAATACACTAAACTTTCTGGTACGAGAGTTCACATCTATATGTAGTCTTGAAATATTTAATGTACAGTATATTTTAAAATACAATTTAAATCTTTTTTTCCATGTCATTCCAGTTGACTAAAATCCCTTATCTATCTCCCAGTGAAAAGCTCCAACTACGCATCCATCTAGTCCGGAACTGTAAAATTCTGACAGTTTCAAAATATTCCTGAAAACAGTATTGTCCTGGTTTCAGCTGGG